CAGGTCAAACTTTACAAAAAAAAATCGATAAAATCGATAAAAGTAATGGACGATCCTGAAAACTAATATTGTGTTCGTAATCAGCATGCTCGATTACCCCCCTGTGCAAAATCCCAGCCTCGCATGTCAAAATTTACAAAAAATCGATAAAATCAATAAAAGTAATCGATAATTCTGAAAACTAATATTGTATTCGGAATCCCCATGCTCACTTCCCCCCCCCTGTGCCAACTCCTAGCCCTGTAGGTGAACTCTGCAAAAAAATCGATAAAAATCGGTAAAATCGACATCGATCGTTAACGAAAAGTGGACTGTGACACCCGCCGGGGCCCGAAGTGTATGTGTGCCAAGTTTGGTCCGGATACGGCGGAGCCGGGTAAGCCAGCTAGTATGTTATATTGCACAACTGCCTCTATTCGCTACTTTAGAGATTTTCTGCGAATTGGCTATTTTGAGTAAAGGAATCGCAGTTGTAGTGGAGGATTAGACGGTTTAGATCGCCGTAGGCGATTTGCCAGTTACGAGATGTCTTCAAATATAATGCCAGCTTACCACAATGTTTAACATGTACAACTTACTAAAAAGATAATTGCCCTGTATTCTGTACTTCTATTAGGTTGTAAAGAAAGTTCCCGGGCACTTTTGGAAATTTCATTTTCAAACGCAATATTTCGGCGCCCGGTCGTATTTGACACCAAGTTCTTTATACTGTTCAGTAGAGAAAAGAAAGTGTAATACGGGGCTTCTGATTTTTATCGATGCCAAGACGCGCTTGACCTGCACATCAAAAAAGGAAATTTTCCACTCATAAAAATTTTACATTTTTCTTCATACAGCCATTTTTTGCGCATTTCAAAGAAATTCGTCTACAATGGGTGATCTGATTGAGAAAACTGTTAACTTCTGACTGGCAGCTGCACTCGAGTTTTGCGATTTTCGCTTAGAAACTACAAGCTGTCAAACCTGCCTCTGACTACAACTCTTTTCGCAGCTGGCGTCGCTTCTGCTGGAATCGTCACGCCTGGATGATGGGTCCGAAAGATGTGTAAGGCATTATCCCAACAATGTTCGCAGTAATCAAAGATTTGGTCCACCCTATGCAGAACGACAAGACTTCAATTCACTTACTCAAAAAATGGCGCATTTTTAGGGGCAAAAAATGGTCGGTTTTTCAACTTTCTGGAAAAAAATTTTGCAGGTCCTCCTGCAAAAACATGAATGGCCCCATAACAGCCCCAGCAGACTTCTATATAACTACAGCATTTGAGCTCTTCTGCTTTCATCGAATCTGAGATAATCTTGCACAAACATGCCACTTTTCGCGACGACCCTTTTCCCTTCTGCGCATGCTGGTGGACCGCAGTGAGGTGATGAAATGCCAGCAAGACAACTATATTTTGTGGACAAAATTGTCTTTGCAATGAAGTTTGTAGCCTTTGTAAGTGATATTGTGCCAAACAGGTTTTTATGGTGGATGTTTATTGCCTAACGTTTCGACAGGTATCGTCTTCGTCGGAGGCCTTAAAAGGGATTGCAGTTTTGTACTTGTCAGTCTACACGACCAAACGCCTCTTCTAACTCGCGGCGTTCAGACCTTGTCTCAGTACAACGTACTGGGAAACAATCCGAAGTGGTAGACATCAATCTCTAATCCACCTGAAGTCAGTAGTCCGCGTTACTGCGACGGACATCACTGAAGGCTGCTCAGTAAGTCAGAGACATTTATAGTCCGCGCTTAAAGTTCATAATGATATATAAGGCAAGAGGTCATTTGTCATGCCAAGCATTCATTCTTGTTATTCATTCCCGGATTTTCGGTAGATATCCACGCAGCTTCCAGTGTTTTTCGTACTGAGATTTCGGTCTCACACGCTAATATCGTGCACTTTACAATAAAATCGTCACCATTATGTGCCTCTACTCTATGTTTTCCCAAAGGAGATGACATTGTCCCTCGTCTTTTATTAGCCAAATGTTCCTTTATTCTAACGCTTAATGTTCTTCCGGTCTCACCTACATATGTTGTTCCACAGCTCAGGCACTCTAACTGTAAACGATACCCTCCTTTGCACAATCACCTAACCTTCCGTATGGGCAGACGATGCAGTTTTCTGATATGCATTCAGTATCATACATTCTGTTCCTAATCAGCCGCTTTTTTGAAACTATCGCTAGGAATGCTGACCAGCATTACGTCATTCTCCAACTTCGCTCGTTTTATGCATCGTTTAATCGCCTCATCAAAACTGTCGGACACAAAGGGAATGCAAAGAGGAATTCTGTTGTCGTTGCTACGCATGCTTTCGCTTACGTGTCTAGCTGATCTTTCCTTTGATCGCTTACTTCCGTATCCATTACTGCGAGCATGTTCAGACGCCAGTTGTTGCGAATCTAGCCGTTCGTTTTCGCCCGTACAGAACTCTGCAGCAGTTTTGTACATATTGTTGATGACGGAACGCTTTAGAGCTTTAGGATGCGCTGACGTGGCGGGGACCAGGATGTTTTTAGAGCTTTTTTCTCAGGAACATTTGATTCGTACAGTACCGTCAGATAGATTTACCTGAGTGTTCAGAAAGGAAAGCCAGTCACTGTTCGGAGTTTCTGTGTAAGCCTTATGTACTGCGACTGCTGATTTAAAATTCTAAAATACTCATCCATTTCGGATTGTGTTGAAGTGATGATGCAGCACTCGATATAGCGGCAGTACATCGATGGCAAACGTGCTAGTATTGGCTCTTCAATTTTACTCATAAAACAAATTGCCAGGATCGGCGCGAGCCTTTGACCCATCGCAAGTCCTCGAATCTGGGAATAGTAATTTCCAGACCACCTAAAAATGTTACAATTCAAACATTCTCTAATGAGGGTCAATATGCACGTTTTGCTTAGCCAAAGGTGACCATGGTAGAATAGTATTTGTCTAACATTTCCGAAACGGCTTGAACGACGACTGCTGCATCGTCACCTCAACACAATCCGAAATGGATGAGTTTTTTAGAATATTAAATTTTAGCAAGTTCTGTTCAAGCTTTAGTTCTGCACGTCAGTGCATAATCAAAAAATGCCGAAGTGAGCTAGAAATTTTGCATCTTTTGCGTGGTCTGTGCCTTAACTACTCAAACTTGTGTGATGACGTATTTATTCGATTGGTGCTTGATTGGAACAAGTAGCGGAGCGAGCGAAGTGGCCAAAGCAAGCACAAGCGGTCGCATGCGACCACATATATTCGCATTACGTCCACGACCGCTTCATCATGGCAACATGCACGCTCGCTTCGCTTCCAGTGACACAGTCAAGTCCCGAGCAAAACATAGCGAACCGCCTTAATACAATCTGGATCAGGTTTTGATGCAATCCGGGCGTAGTGCGCAGTTTCGGGTGCAATCCGGGTCCAATTTGCATGCGATCTAGATTATGAGCAGCTATCACTATTATCATTCTTACCTATCAAAATTGGCTCGTAAGAATGATTAGCCAAAACAGCGACCTCTGCGTGAAATTTCTTATAGGTTTCCGCCACATCCATAACGTATCAATAGTTGATAATGAGATCACACCTACTTCTGCTACAGGAAAAAAAGCGACTTTGAAACGTTTTTCTTCCCATCAATTTCTTCAAGATGACACATAAAGCTCTAAGATGGAAAAGAAGGCAGTCATTAAAACCGCCACTTTCGGTTGTGCACGTCAGCGCTTTGCATGGTTATAGGGATGCTGCGTTGTGTGACATTTGAGGACTTACAAATACGACCAGTCACAAAATCACATCAGCAATGTCTTCGTTTATGAATGCCTATGATTTCGTGGCTAGAAAATAACCTAGAAACTTTAGACATCCAAAATGTCGAGTATTTTCACAACGAATTCATTTGACAGCGTCCACAATTACACATAGTTAGCAGGTTCAACTATTTACACTTGTACTAAACTACTTTCACTATGTATTTACTCCCATATTCAAAAGCGCATCAGTGGTAACACAGTACAGTGCTTCAATTCAGCTTGCAATCATCAGTTCCGTCCACGCCAGCTCTGCCCGACTACCAAGAACTTCTAAATGAGATAGGTGAGAGACCGTGCATGTGCTTGTAAGGAAATCAAACCAATGTAGGTTGGCGATTGAAGACGAGATGTATATCACACACGTCTTTAAACGCTGATTTCAAATCTGTCTTTTTGCGAAATATCTCTGTAATAAGCTATAAGCGTTTAAAAGTCCGAATCTGTCAAAATTCAAAGGCAGTGTCTGGGCAAAAAGTCGATTTCAAGACTTTGTGTTTACCCGAGCCTATTCCCCATACTGAATCCGAAAATCCACACTATAGAGCGCAAAAGACGAATTGCTCTAACGCAAGAGGAAGATCAGCAGGTGGATGGGGGGGGGGGGGTCTTCCTCACTGTGAGTTTACGCTCCCAGCTTCCGGAGATTTTTTCGATTCCGCTAGTCGCCCTGACATCCTCGCAGGCCAAGACTGAACGCGTGACTCGACATCGGAACCGAGAAGATAGCGCAGGAAGGTGGGAGCGTGAATTCATAGTGAGAAAATCCCGCTCATCTGCTCTCCTGCGTCAGAGCCCCTTTTTGTTTTCGCGCTGTCTCGATTTTAGGATTCAACATAAAGAATACGCCTGAGTAAGCGCAAAATCTCAAAATCGACTTTTTGCCCGAACACTGGCTCCAAGTGGCCTAAAATTGACGAAAAGATGCACAAAAATGCTAAAAGGTCTAAGCAACTTGTGTCGAGTATAAAGACTGCAAGAAAGGAAAAATCCAGCGAAAATCTGCATAAGTGTTGTATTAGAGCTTTTTTGCTAATTTTATGCCATTTAATGCTAGACAAATTTGCACAATCAAACGCTCATAATTTCTTTCGGGAAGTTATTCCGCAAAAAAAAGAACATTAGGAATCAGCTGAAAGGGCGCGTCTAGTGACATCACCTTGTCATAAATCGCCATTTATGGTATCCTTCCCTTGCAGGCCTGCGAAAATTAGTTTCAGATGTGGACTGCAGGAGAATTATCGGTGGAGATAAACTCTCGGCTAAAAAAGCTAAACAATGGAAGTACAACTCCGCACACGCTGAGTTGGAAATATCCAAAGCTAAAAACAAGTGAGCTTTCTCTTTATGATGCAAATACACTAACTTCTTCTTCCAAAAATGGTAAACCTTGTAACGCAAGGAACTGCATTTCGATCATACCAGAAAAAATTTTGTATCAGGTGCCACGCTTTGAAAAAGCTTTTTGGATTTCGCGTAGATCTAGCAGATGTTTCGGTAGAGGAATTGAAATATCCACTTGCTTATGGTGCAATTGTTTACAAAAATTTCATACAGGTAAGCGGGCGCTAATACCATAGTAGAAAGACGCGGGGAATTTTTCCCCTTCGGTTCATACAAGCACCATATAATATAAACAATTTTAGGTCATGTTCATGTTGAGCGCCTTCTATAGGCCTCATAACGAATACTGTATTGCTGTAAGTGGCTCAGCCGAAAAATCGTTCAAAATCGCCATGGATGAGGTGGCCAGCTGTTTCGACAACGTCCACGTGTTGGTGAGGTACCGATTCCAGCATCATTACTTTGCTTGCACTAAACTTTGAAAAACTAGGCTCGATCCAATTAGGACCCGGCTGATCCAGTTCCCCTCTTCATCAAACAACGCCTTTTACTTCAAAACGGTATCCAGCCCACGGGGGGCACGCGGAAGGCGACAATCGGCGAAAAATGGAGGCTGTGTATCATCCGTCTCAATGACTTTCACGGATTTCTACTTGTGGCATTGAGTAATGTATCTGCCCCCACCCCCCACCCCCGTAGTCCCCCGGGGTGTCACTTTGACACCGGAGAGTTTTTGATAGGCACAAAATTGGGGATTGTCGCCTTCCGCACCACACCCCCAGCCCACCCGTGTGCCCTGGGTGTAAATTCGTCCAAAGCAAAGTCTCCTCAATTCTTTTCTCTAACTGAGAAAAACCTGTGTCCTTACTTGTGACGAAGTTATAGGGCTTTTTTAATCCCCTCAACGAATCTTTTACGTAGAACCTTTCGTTTTTGGAAACGGCCAAATGACTGTTTTTTTCATCAAACGTGCTTATCTTTCCAAATCTGAAAAAACTACTCATACTACTAACAATCAGAACTTCTCTTCGCAGGGAGCTGCAGAATAGTAGACTCATATTCCTGAAGGTTATGGAAAATAATGACGCCTTACGTATTTCTACGCCCAAATGTCTCTGCAAACCTTGCTAAGTCTAGATTTGCTTGTGATTTGAGAAGAGATGAGCAAGCTTTAGTGCTTTAGTGGGGACATACCTCACAGTAGCCTAACGCCACTGCCACTCCATTTGTCAAAGACGTAAAATTACACAGCTCTTTTGCGACAGTCGCTAAAGATTATTTTGTCGGCATCACATTATTTTGTCGGCATCACAAAGATTTTCGACCATAGCAATCAATTTAAGGCATACTGACTGACGCAGTCACTTGTAAGCCAGTATGGTCTAGTGGTAGGGGTACACTCGCCAGCATGTGTTTTGCTTGAATGGTATAGCTCCAATATAAATTACAGAATACACTAGTCTCACTCATCATCGAGCAGGGGCTAAATGTGTAAAAGTCCGAAATGGGGCGTGTGCTTAGGAGTGTCGAAAATCGTATGATAGTAACAAAAAGCAACATTTTATTATTTACGGCAAAAAATTATATCGATTTTTGCTCCTGCTCTTTGACTGCGACGAATTCAAGTCCAGAAACTCACATGTTTGATAAGCATCTAAAACGCTAAAGGAACTAAATTACAGCATCGACCACATATTGAATGGGGATCGTTTGAGATAATCAACTCTACATGGGTTTGCGTCGGAGTTCTGGCTCGTAGCAAGACAAACTGGATGTATTATCAGGTATTTGCACTGCAATTTCTCACAAACTCTTGAAGATTGCCAATATTCAGCAACTTTCTGGTGTAGACGTTCCGCTTAAGACGAACCTAGAAATGGTAAAGATACTCAAACAGTTGAATAATACTGTAAACAGCGAGTTTTTGGCTTTTCAAACGGATCGCCTCAAGGGAAAAAAGGTAATAGCAAAAATCTATCAATGATCTTTGTCCTTTGCGCAACAAACTCAATGTGAGCGACCCTTGGCCAGCAGGAAAAAATGCAACTTAAGCAAAAGTACTTAAGTTGAATTGAAGCTGGGATTCTGAGAAGAAAACTTTTATGGCAGAATGACACAAACTGCCGTGTTTTTGCCCCATTTAAAACCTAGAGAACAATCAAAGCGCTTAATGTCACCAAATAACCTTTGCGAGATACTTTACATCTTACATAATCATTTTGACGGACGGGATGTATGAAAAGTAAAGAAGAGAAGCGAAACCTCATCACTTTGCAGGTTACTATGAAGACTCCTCCTATAATAATTTCATCGTTAAGCTGAAACTTCCCTCCGGCATGCGTTCTCGCATCGCCCGGGCTCAAAAAACATGTTTTGTTTCATTTTTTTCACAGATAGAAGACTCCCCGCTACCACTTTTCAAATCTTCCCTGAGTGCACTCGTTCCTCGAAAGGCCATAACGAGGATATTAAAGGTAATGTCCTTTTTCGCTCTAACTGACAAATAATTCTGAAGAATTTGGTATTGCTTTTACGTGAATATCGTAGCGTAGAAAAAATGATAAAGGTAGATGAGATGAAGAGTCACTAACTCTAAGTTACAACAATCACTATTTAAAAGATCTGTCCGAATGGTTCTATATAACTAAACAGATGATTAAAATACTTACATCAGTATTGCAGGATAACTTACAAGTGTTGACAATATTCATCTGTAGTGCGCCACAGTCTTATGATCTTAATAGTCTCAAAGCTTCTGAAGAAATTTCTTTAGGTTCATTTTCAACAAAGACTTAGAATTCAAACAGGCTACTTTTGCAAGACTTCAGAGTGCCGAGAAATGGTTTTACCATATGCCTGTTACATAAAGCTAGTGATGGTGGCTGTGGTGGCTCGGTGAGATCAGCACCTTTTGCAAGTGCTCGCCACAATCAACACCGTAGAACCCCGCTGTTCCCTCTATGATGTTGCGCGTCCGCTAAGGCTAGCTGTTTCTTATCGGCCGCTGCCGTGGACTACCCCTTCTTGCACAAAAATATGACAGCGCGTGGACGCTGAGAAAGAAAAGGAACAGACTAAATTAAAAACAATAGCCAATAAACAACAGCTTCAATGCAATTTATCTTTACAACACATAAAGCTACTTTAATCTAATATTCTAAAGCTACAAAACAAATAAAATGAAAAACAAGTGGCGATCGCATGGCCCAATGCTACCGATGGTCCTGTCAGACTTGTTCCTAATTATGAACATCTCGAGTCCTCGCTCAACATATCCGTCGCCATTCCCTCACGCCATAATGAAACTTTGCAACCTTCTCCGCTCTCGATAAGTATAGTTCACCAGCAGATCCAAAAAGGGTCGACTTCATCATTGACGTTAAGCGCTTAAATTCCCAAATTCCTGTGCAAATGCTTCGACAGCTTGGTTCAAAACAAAAAACACATCCAACGCAAGAGCTCAAAGGCAGTGGATCGGCAAAATCCAACAACTAGGGAATTTAACGCGGTAGGTTCCTTATCAACCAACTATGAAAATAGTGCAATCTCGATTGCACAGCATGCTTTCCCTGCCGAGAAAATCGCTCTCGAACTTACACGCGCAAGCCAATCTTACACGCGCCCGGGCGAGTTGGCAACTTCCTTCTCACCATTGGAGGCTGCCCGCCGCAACGCTATAACCATTGGGTCCTGCCACAATTTAGCATCATCGGCTTTGCTCCACTCGTCCAATATCAAAGGGAAGGGCATTAAAAAACGCTTATTTTCGCCGTTTTCAAGCTTTCAAAAGTGGATTTTCGGTATCAGCGTATTGAAAATTCCCAGGTAAGCGCAAATTTAACTAGGTTGAGATTTGCCGAGCCACTGCCTTCAAGCACGTCAATGCAAGATTCAAATCGTAGACAAAAATAACTACCAAAGACAAACTGAGCAGGTGAGTAAATGAGGCGCCGCAGCTACCCATTTTGGCTACGTGTCAGCAAGGAGGGGTCCGGCGGCGATTACCGTAATGCAAAGCCAAAGCTGCCGCAGTCGCGATCGGATAACGCGAAACAACCGGCGATCCCAGCCTCCGTACCCTGGCGTTCATCGTTAGCCACGACAAGGAATTTGATCTGATATCAATGGCGGTCCCAGTAATTTTCTTCGCTTGGGCAGGGAGAGGGGAAGAGGGAAACGGAATTTTTCGCGGAAGTGATTGGCGTTAGCCAGGCACTCCGGCAAATTTTTCTTTCTTCCCAAAATTTTTGCAAGTCTATAACCAGAGGCGTCGCCGCAGCCATACCCCAAAAACATTTTTACCTTCTAATCTTAGTCTTTGTGATGATGTGGGGCCAAGATTGCTGTCAAGCATTGATGCACATTTTCCAACTCTAATTTTTTAAGGCAGAAAAAGGCTTGCAACTGTTACATTTTCTCAATGATACGTACATCCCAGATGAGGCGTTTTGGGCAACGCTCACCGGCAACGAAAAGAGTAGGTCGATCACTTTTTCCAAAACGCCGAACAATCATTCTTACTTTCAAGTATTTTCGGTCCCTGGCGGGACAAGCGCTAAAAAGTGGATAAAATTTGAAAAAGACTATCGAGCAAAACACATGGCAGAAGTTGATAACTATATGGAAACGAAGTTGCGTGATGCAAGCATGCATTATTATCTGGCCAGACACCAAGTCTGGTACCGCAACTGTGGTGGTAAGAGCAAATAATTCGATTAAAGGCACCGTCAACCGAGATTGATGGGTGGCGAAAAATTGATAGGGCAACAGCGGTACTCTAACTAAGTGACTTTCAAGTCCCTTAGCAGAATGTAAAGTCGGACGCGAAAAAATCACCCCTGAAAGAGGAATTAGCGGTGGATGCTCCGCCCAGCTACGTGGATGTCTGAATCAAAGCCCGTAAATGGCCTCGAGCGCATTTTTCAAAAATCTGAATCCCTTGCAACTATCAAAGTTCCGAGAATGTTGGGCACATGTAAGCTTAATTCTGGATTCGTATATTCAAACCACCCACGTTGCTGGGCGGAAAGACCGCCGCAGCTTTGTCCTACTGAAGCGATTCTCTTGAGTATGACTTCGCCTTTTGCTGCGGGACTTGGATAGCTATTTAATTGAAAGCCCTGCAATGGTACCTTATCAAAATCTCACCACCCTCAATTTCGGTAGACGCTGCCTTATGTGTACATTGGTTAGCTGTCATTGGTTTTAGGCAAACTCGTGACCGCTTCGTGTGTTTTCGGGGTAGATGATCTGGCCAATATATTGAAGCAACCTCATCTGATTGCTCACAAGATGTACCTCGACTTTCAACCTGCAGCATTCTTTTGTGTTTTGAAAGTAAGTGTTCATTTGATTTGTTGAAGAACCGAGAATTTGTTGAGTCTGTTTGACGGATACATTGCAGGAAATCCGCGAAAGAGAAAAGAAGCCAAAACCGCTCAATCTTACTCTATACGCCGAGTTGCCGCAAGTTGAATTGAGCTCTGGAGTGCCTTACGAGAAACTGAAGCATCCTCTTTGGATGATTTGGTAGAGTTTATCAATAGAATCCAGTATTATTGTTGATTTGAAAATTTCTCTAGTCTCAAATTAACCATGTTTGTTATCCGCGGTCTTATAACGGGTGAAAACATACTTCGCTATTGTTAATTTTCCAAAGATGTTCTTTGAGAATTGAGAAATGATTACTGATCCAAATGTAAACGATGAAGTGAAATACACTTCGAGACGATGGAAACGATTTTTTTGTGGAGAATGTTTTGCGAGATCACTTACAAACTATTCCAATTTCGCTAAACGACATTTTGCAAAAACAAGTCAGGCCAAGTACAATCAAAGAGTTAGAGAGAGTATCGCCATTAGACGCTTCCTTCAACGAGTATTGGTCTTTTACACGGTATGCAAGAGCACTGCGAAAGGACCGTTTTTCGGAGGCAATTTCTTACTCCAGATGAAGTAAGAAATACAATTGGTAGGAAACATGGAACAATAAAAAATGTTTTTACACAGATTCTGGAATATTCATGTTACTGCTCAATTTTTCGAAGTCCTTACAAACAGAAAAATTAGTTCAAGGTGAACCTGCATTTCTTTTCTTGAGTCTTCAAAAAAAAGCTGCGAACATTGCATTAGAATGTGTACAAACCTGATCCAGAAGATCGTTATCAAGCCACAGTACAGTTGTGTTATATGGCTATAGATGCTGGCCGGTTCCTCTTTTGAGACAATTTGAACTCGACATTGACTGGTACAAGATATGAGTGTTCCTCTATTATTTCAAAAACTTCAATTGAATCCAAAGCTTCTCGTCCATCCCAACCTGCCATCACGACTATGTACCTCTCAAGCACGATCTCGCACACATGATTCTCACGAGCTATAGCTAATCGAGTTGGAAGGATCTAGAAGCCGATTTAGTTTGCAGAAGCAGAGAATAAAATTCAGAAACATTACCTCAGAATTTTTTGTAGCAGTTGAATAACGAACTATAGTGTTTACTACGGATACATCATCGTAACCGCCTATTACATATATGTATCCGGAATGAGATACACAGCAGTGACCCTCGACAGCATAGGGCAATAAAGATTCCATATCTAACTGATAAGATTCGCATTCCCTGTCGAATTGCAGTCTGCAACTGGTATTTACGCCCTACATAATATCAACTAACCATGTGATACCTAAAGACTGTTCTCATCGTACTGCTTTCATCCCAACCTCCAAAAAGTAGAGCTGTGTCGTTACTGATAGATACGGCTACGCTATTCTTCAATCGAAAGGGAAGGTCGTTCAGCCTCTTCGAGTATACCTGGAACATGAGGTTGAGGGTACTAGATAAATTGACAGTACAATGAGTGCCACACTTATAAACACGCTACCTCTAATTGCAGTAACAGGAAAATCCACCACTGCCAATCCGACAACCTTTTACCCCCTCGCCTTCCAAAAAAAAATTTGTGGAGCTTCCAAATAATCTCCAGGTTTGAATTCATAACTGCACTTTTGCAATTTCGTAACGCATTCTTGCTGGCTCCACACCCTCGAACTCCCACTCCACCACACCATTACTTCATCCCTTTCTCTCCCTCTCTTAAAAAAGGAGGAAAATCTTTCCACAGATTTTTGCCTTACCTACGATTTGTTTGGCAAATTATTATATTCTCAACTAGATTTCAAAATGTTCTTTACAAACATGCCAAAAAAATGATGGGAAGTTTCCTAGCCTATGCATAGCTTCCTACAAATAAGACAAATTTTTTAAGAGGTAGAACTTTCAATAACTGCACTTCTCTTTTACTACAATTTTGATGATTTATAAGCTGAAGCTATTATTACCTCGTGGCCAATCTCTTGAATAAGTGCAACAGTTTTCAAACAATCCGTTCCGTTGAATCCACCAATTACTAGCCCACACTGCTCCTGAATAACTTCGTTTTTAAGAAATCAAAACTTGACGAAAAGAGAAACTTGGAAAAAACTTGTTTTCACCTACTCTATGCTAGAAATAAATATTTCTCAAGATTGTACTAATACCAATATGGCTCAAGGACTAGTTGCCCAAGGGTTGTTAATCAAAAGTGAGCTCAAATCTGCTAGGGCCGGAGTTTGCCAAAACTCAACTATCTTCCTAGATTTGACAAGAAAGTTGTATAATTTGCCTACTGTTTATAAGCATAAGAAAGTGTAGAGGTTATAAGGATCTAAACAATTCCATTTTTCACGTAGATTGAATCTTACAAGGGAAGGATACTATCTCGAAGCGGTTTTCATATAGATATACTGTCTCGTAGAGCATGGAACGCTGAATCCAAATCTGCTTTCGGTATCTGCAAATCTTTCCTGGGAGGGGAATTATGGGAATTCTTCTAGAAGAAAATTCAAGGAATTGGCTAAGGTGAAAACAGATGTGAGGTCTTCCGTCGCTTGGGAGCAGCCATAGTATTTCTGTGATTCTTGCATTTCCTGCAGTTTCTGTATATTGCAAAAAAAACTATGTAATCTTCTTATATATAAAGCTGAATGTCTGTTTGTCTGTATGTATGTCTGTATGTCTGTATGTATGTATGTATGTACGTATGTCCCGAATAGAAAATTCCATTTCTGAACCGATCCGGACCAAACTTGGTACACATACACTTCGGGCCCCGGCGGGTGTCACAGTCCACTTTTCGTCATCGATCGATATCGATTTTATCGATTTTTTGCAAAGTTTGAGCTAGGGGGCTGGGAGTTGGCACAGGGGGGGTAATCGAGCATGCTGATCATCCCCAAGGGGGGTGATCAGCATGCTCGATTACACCCCTGTGCCAAATTCCAGCCCCCTAGCTCAAATTTTGCAAAATCGATAGAATCGATAAAAGTAATGGATAATTCCAAAAACTAATATTGTATTCGTAATCTGCATGCTCGATTACCCCCCTGTGCAAACTCCCAGCCCCGCAGGTCAAACTTTACAAAAAAATCGATAAAATCGATAAAAGTAATGGACGATCCTGAAAACTAATATTGTGTTCGTAATCAGCATGCTCACTTCCCCCCCCCCCTGTGCCAACTCCTAGCCCTGTAGGTGAACTCTGCAAAAAAATCGATAAAAATCGGTAAAATCGACATCGATCGATAACGAAAAGTGAACCGTGACACCCGCCGTAGCCCGAAGTGTATGTGTGCCAAGTTTGGTCCGGATACGGCGGAGCCGGGTAAGCCAGCTAGTTGTACTAATATTCGCAAAGCGCTCAGTGCGGCACATCGGAAATGGAGGAATCACACGAACTGCAGAAATTACAGGAATCGTAGGAATCACCTCCTGAATAGTATGGCCGGTCCCCTTGGAGAGAGTAATGACCAGCATGAGTTTATCAGGCCGAAGGTAACAACTGTGTAAGGCACCCGGCAGTGCTCACAGACTACAGTTCTGAATGATTTTATTGCAGCCGCGCGTTAAAATTTTGCTACAAAAAAGTCCATAACTCCGCTCCCAAAGGCGCTTCGCAAATGATGAAAGTAAATTTGGAATCAACATTCCATGCTCTATAAGGTGGTATACATTTCATATGAAAACGCCACTTTGACCACGTATCATTCCCTTGTTAGGATTTTGGCTTCATAGTTCGAGCACACAGTGAATCACGTGACTCACATGCAGCCTCTTAGGAAATTATTTTTTGTTAGACTAAAAAAATTTTCGGTGGAGAAAAGCAAGGGCTTGCCAAATGGCCTCCGACTTACATCTAAATTACAAAAAGCTGTGCAACTTCTTGGCTCAACATCTACCGTATTCCGTGAGCTGCCCACCCATTCACCATCATAAAAGCTAATCTGCTCCACGGTGTCCACATGGCAGCCCTTTTCTAAGCATCCTAAACAATATATGCTACGCGTAGACCAAATTTTGATGTCGTGTAGTAATACCAGTTTCACCTACCTCCAATGACATATATGCTACCCTTTCCACGCAAAACTGCAGGACTTCGCCTTGGCTGGTTGAGGTTCCCAGTCAGTCCAGAGGCAATGTTTATACCATTAGCTGGGAAGCAAGAAAAGTTCACTTCTTCAAATGAACGCAAAGCACCACCCTCTGCTGCTTCAGTGCATCCGCCAAGCAAAAGGACCGAAGATAGCCGGGTATTGGGCATAATCCTGTGAAGGACATTTCAAAATTTTTAGGGATTGCTAATTCAGTTTCAGAAGGTAGGGGAACGAACTGCGCCAGTTTGACCCTGCTCGCTGGCAACTGGTCCTATTGCAGTATTGTTGCATTTCATTGCAGGACCAGTAGTCCGCTTCAAACCTGGCGGAGTTCGTTTCTGTACCCAGTTTCAGGAATCAAGCAAGATGCGTTCTCCTTTCGCCCTCACATTTTCTACGAGTTCCGAAAATTGAGCTAAGTGTGCTTTATACAGATTGATAATGTGGAATTTTGTGAAAATTTCTTTTATTCATCGAGAAAAAAATTGAAAATTGCTAGAGGCATTTTGGAGCGCATAACATCTTTCGCTAAGGGCCTTCGACACCATACTTTCCTGGTTTTCATGAAGAACATCTATGGTTAACATTGGGTCGGTGCAAAAGTTTTGTCAGTTTTTGGGAAAACTGCAAAATCCTTACAGTGAAGATGAACAAGAACTTCAAATTGTTTTCAATGCAGAATTGCTTCCTCTTTCAAGCTGTTAGGTCCATAATGTGATCTACTGAGAGAGTGCTGAGATAATTGCTGGAGCAAAACTTTCGTTTTCACATGCCTATTTCACTGATTTTCAAAACTTTCATTCGAGACATTTGAGGAAACTCAGTTTATTTTTTTTGGCCAGACACGCGAAGTTTGCGGAGAAATTCGCGTATCACTCTTCCAAATATCGAAATCTTCATATTTTGAAGCGAAAATCGCTCATTCGCTGCAAGTTTATTATAGTAATGACTGAGTTTCGTAACCTCAATGATTTGGAGACTGTGTTTGTTACGACAAAGCGTTATACGATTTTCTTAAAACTTGAGACTTTTGAAAAAATTATTTAACAAAATTCTAAAAGAGTAGCTGGAAGAAGAAGAAAAATTGCTGGTTGGCAAAAGGTTTGCCCTACCTAATGGCTATTGAAGCTCCCTCAAAGTCTCGAATGAAAAATTTGGAAAATTAGTGAAAGTCATGCATGGTGGGAACGAGTTGTAAATAGTTTCCAGCGATTACCTCTGCGCCCTCTCAACGAATCACACTGGTATAGCAGCTGGCAAGGAGAAGAAATTCTGCATCGAACCAGCTTGAATTGTTTGTACATCCTTATTCTGTCTTATCTAGCGGTGGAATCAAAAAACTGATAAAATCTTTGCACCTTTGGAACTTTTGGCCTAATAGATAGGCTTACCCAGTTCGATACAAATAAGAATTCTGTTCGTGTAAGATGCTACAAAACTCCCAGTGGAACGTAATTAACACACGTTCTTTGAAGAATTTTTTTTGCGCAAGAGTAGCTGAGAAAGTTTGAAGGAAAAACATTTTACCGAGACCAATGAACCAGTAATCTAAAGATGCTAGATGGCAGGAGCGTTCGCTTCGGAACAGCCGCAGTTTCCCGCTATTGGAAGAATTTTGAATTGAGCTAACGATTCTTTTTATATTAGAGATTTGGCGTGTACTTAATTTGAACTTCACATTTTTCCTTTTTATTCAACGCTTCAGTCGTTCTCCTATACCAGTGAACCAGTGATCTGAAGGTGCTATGGCAAGAGCGTTCGCTAGGGACCCGCCGCGTTTTCCCGCTACTGGAAGATTTTTGAACAGATCTAATGATTCTTTATTTAAAAGATAAAACGAACTTGAAAGTTTTTTATAGTTCGCACAAGTTTATCATATTTTATTTTTTCAAGAGTCAATTCTGCGTTTTTGAGAGCTTTTCGAATCTGAGCAGTACTATGCAAAGAACGAGTCTTCTCTCCAATATGTGGGGAATCCGGCTATGAATGTCGGACATATTTTGAACACATAGCTATCAATGACCGTGTTTTTATCGGTATGTTTTATGAGAACATTATTTGCCTTAATCATGCCCCTTCTGATAACACAGATCAAATGACTTGGACTACAAAAAAACTACCGAATAACTTCGATTATCTGCATCACAACACCATCTTTGAAAGACTTTACTTTGTTTTACGACCAAAAAGTCGCTGTGAGAAAATTAAGAAGCATTACAAGAGATCATCTACGACCTGGTGTTCCATATAATCATCAACGTCTAGGACTTCATTTTCGCAGATACAATCTGTAAGAAAAGCTTAGTGTAAACGATAGTCAGGTATATAGAGACCAACCCAAAATATATTTTTCCACCACTACAGGGGGAGGTACTTCCAATTCTTCGGAACAATATATCTCTAAGGAATGGTTATGAGGAGCCACAATCAATGAACAGTCCAGTGGATCCGTGGTAACCTAGAAAGCAATACAGTGGATAATGCCTACCTCTCCTTCAGAACAATTATAACAAAAAACTATGGATTCCTGTACCTCTAAATAAATCGCCTAGATATGAAATATAAGTGCTGAATCTGAGTAGTAAGTCTAAATACCTTTCACACACGCGCTCATAATCAAAAGTGATTTATTTGTTTACACATTTTATTTTCAATTCCATATGATGAATACTACGCTTCAAACTAGTGCCACTCCGACATTTGGAAATTTGGTTACATCTATTCCATTTATTTCTTTTTTCTCTAATTCCATCAAGTATAATACTCCTCAAACCCCAGCTAGTTATCATCTTAACAAAAAAATCATAAAGTTTTTCTTACAAACAGCAATAAAATGTTGTTCAAGGAATCCACCTATACATCCTTGAATCATCACCTAATTCATAAATTAAAAAATCCATCCTTAGAACTGAGAGATGTACAAAAATCAAAGAAGTCGACCTCAGCTTACCTCTCCTCCGCTTTTCTCTATCATCCATCGCAAAACATCGGAGGGAGGTGAACACTCGTCGCAAATCAGTATCTTACCATAATCAGCAAAAACTTCACAGTACTCCTGTCGTCTCTGGATAAGAAAAAGGTTATGTTATAGTAAAGTAGCTACCAAATACAAACCTTTATGAGCTCTGCCCATCTTTCGTGCTCATAGTCATCTACAGGCAGCAGTTTATTGTGATCTGCGCACGTTTCCAGCCATTCAGGTTCCACTACAGGTATCGCATTGACAACAGCACGCATAGTGTTGAGAGTCCTCTCTCCATTAGCGCTGACAACACAGTACGTTCTTGCGCTAATTTTTGAGTGGACTTTAAGGCCAAGATCACGAACGTAGGCGTGTAGCTCTCTCTCCTTCCTGAAATTCGTAATCAAAAAAAAGTTAGAAGAAAAGTCAGTAATTCCAAACAAACTCTTTCACAAATCCCGTAAAGACGACTCCGTCCCTCGTTTTGCCACCAATCTTGGATGTATGTTTCTTTCCGACAAATTCTGCAGAACTAGAAGCCGACTGCAGTTGGTTAATCATAGATGATGCTGTTTCAACTAATGGTGCATAGGCGCCACCTAAACGCTTGAATAACAACGAAGCTTGAACAAATATTTTGAAAAATTGATAGTAGCATATACATTGAGATAGGCTCTTGAATCCAAGAAGACCCATTTCTGTGCTGTTCCCACTGGAAGACGAACACTTTCGAGGAGATTTTGATTCAGAAGATTTCTGTTGTAGCCCGAAGTTCTTCGTAAACTTCTAGAGCAAAGATTTCACTGACGATGTTTGAATATAATCCCAAAAAAATTTTGTCACCTTATTTCCATTCTTCGGGACGTGAGGGAGGTCACAAGCTAAAGTATTTCGCGGCTCTAAAAACATTTTTTCCAAAAGTATGTTATCTTCAAACTCAACATCAGACAAACAATAATTCGGTTGCTAGTAAACTATCTCAAACTTGAGAATAGTGTGTAATGGTCCCTACCTTCATTTTCCTTGGCAGCTTCAGCATTAGCAACAGATGTCGTAGGGTACCCACTAACAGCAGCTTGCTCCTCTGGAAAAAATACCTTTGACTAAAACGACGCCTTTCTGTGAAACAATGCTACAAATATCAAGACTAACCCCTGGCCTCGCGGATCACTTTCACAGCAACATTCGCTGGTTCACGATACTCCAGTGGAAAAGCACCATGCGTCCGGCGCCGAGTGATTTTGACAATCGAAGGTACCTGAATCGGTAAGCGTAAGTGATATGGGAAGTTCGTTTATATAAGTTTGCCTACTTTCCTGCAAGCTAACATGTTAGCATTCGTCGGCAACTGTTTCATCTGCAACTGTCCTCCTAAACGAGCTTTCTTCGCAAGAAGAATATTGCGGTAGTTAACCAACCTTTCAGAGCACTAGGGCAGCGTTTACCCAAGACACAAGAAGTTGTGACTGAATTGCAAGACCATAAAGTTTGCCGATCTCGAAAAGAAAGGCGTGCTTACCGCCAATTTTATCCAGTCGTTTTGACAACAAATCCAACTTTAGCAGTAATTCAGAGGCATTCATGCTTCTGCTAAAGGTCACTTCCACATCCTACAGCAAATGTGTACAGTAAACGTGTAACATGAAAACTAATTAACCTCGGAAATTGCTGGATGTCCAATGCATGCTCGTTCATTCGTAACATCTTGCAGTACAACTCGAGAGCATGATGCATTCCTCTGATCCTAAACGAGGACAGTGCTAAGCTACATGTTCATAGCAGGGCTCTCAATTTAGTAACTGTTCAAGTCCCGCATCAAAAATGAGTCGAAATAAGGCATAAGCCGTAGTTAATCCATTCGATCCACTTAATCACTACACCCACATCGGTATCGGTCAAACAAGAGAACTGACCATTAGCAAAGTGGAAGAAGGGAATCAAGACACCCGCTCCGATTAATTACTTTCACTGATTCAACCAATAGCGAAGCAAATCACATGGAACAACTATGGCGCGTGCCCAAGAAGATCGCTTCACAATCTGAACGTTGACAAAAGAGAAAATAATGACATTTCTAAATATCCTGAAGCTTAGCTTCGCGCCCGGTCCATAAGACCACCCACGTCTGGTCAGAGTTGCGTCTACCCGCTCTATCTTTTGGAGATATGTAGAAAGAAAAAAAAAGATGAGAAGATATGCTCTACAGAAAAGTTCAGAACGCCGGCTAGACCACTTACCAAGCTGCGACGAAGAGTGTTGACAAGATATCGGCATTCATATAGTGAAAACGACTCTTCTGCCACGCGAGCACGGGCATTGAAGCATCTGATTTTATACACAATTCAGAATCTATAACAGATAAAAGAGCCTCCACTCACTCATGAACCCAATGAGGATCTATCAGAAACGGCCTTCTTAAAGACTCAAATACGCTTTGAAGGATCTCGGTGCTTCCTCCGTAAGAGAAAACGACATGGGTCGTTGTTTCTGTAAAACGTCTCGATACGACCGCCCCCATGCGACGCAAACGTGAACGGACATCTTCTGATGATTCTTTGCAACAACCCATTTCAACACAAACGCGGCAACCTGCAAACCAATTAACTGATAGGTGATTTATGGGTTGTTGCAAAGGACCATACCGTTCAAAATGTTAGAGAATGTGTCGTCATCTAAAGCTTCAGCTATGTCGCATGATTCAGCTACAGAGAATAGCGAGTGCTTCATCCTGTTCTCCATTGCCATAAATACTTCCTCAGACGACTCATCGAAAGATTCACCAATCATAAGTCGCAAAGAGGAGGGACGGGATGGCCTAATTTGATGATCAGCTGTAGTTTCAGGGTTGGGATTAAGGCGTTCATCCTCTGTAATAAAGTGGTACACTTGACATTTTCGTCTGAAGAGGATGAAAAAGCTGTGGGATATGAAAGTCATAGCGGTTGAAGGGAATCGACAGCTTTTTTCCAAGAAACATTCCCATTCTATAAACGCAGGAACAAGTTGTCTCAATGAGGGTGTCAAAACTCCAGCGGTTCGAGCCCTCGCTACCGCCTCGCAAGGGCCTTGCATCGCCTTTGCAATGTATCTCTAAACAATTTCTCACCGTCAGCCTTCAACCACCAGCAAGGAAAAAAAACTAGAAAATACTTTCGCGAACGCGGTGCAATGCCGGAGCGAGGCAGATGCAAGGATTCGCGCCGCTAAACTCTTACACTCACAATGAGATAGCCTATGTGATCAGAACCATTGTACATCGCAAACCGAAACATTTCACTTGGTTGATCGAATTCGTTCTGTTATTCAAAATAAGGCAAAAAATGAACTAACTAATATGAATGGGGAATTAAAAAGTCGACATAAAAGACCTCTTCTACAGTGCTCCGAACTGACTGCAGTACTTTCAAGAGCACAAAAATGCACTGCTGCGTCCAGAGTTCCTCGTGCCAGTGCAGTGCTAGCACCGTGCCAGCGCCTACTACGCTAGCAGAGCAATTCCGGATGCAGCATGGAGTATCGCGCGCGATATGTCGGAAATATGGAACGGTAATAAATGGGAGTCAATTGTTGAAAGTGAAACGAACAAAAAATTCCAAAGAAAAAAACCGAATGGATAAGCAGATGAAAATACCCGATGCAGCCTCCAGAGGAATGGGATCCGAATCCGGAACGACCGATGGATTGCCAGAAGACGTATTTTTGGAAAGCGACAGCCCTTTCAGTGATTCTTCCAATGCAACATGAACATGAAGTTTTGAGATGTGATAAGATGAAAGTGGTCTACAATTCTAACAACTCACTGGAAGAGTGTGTAGGCTGTCTTCTGCTTCCTCCTCATCGTCTATGCTGATTGGTGAAATGTTTAGATCGGGAAAATTGTAAGCCGTTGTCATTGCGTCCTGAAAAATATTACATTCGTTTTCACGGACTTTGACACTTCTCCATGAAAAATAAGTACGAACGATACTTAATGAAAATAAAAATGATTCTCTAGCTCCTATAATTAACGTATCAGAAAGTTTGAAACACAAGAAAGGGTAGAGACGCTTGAAAGGTGAAAGTAGGTACCTATATACTAATTGAGGATGGCAATCGAGGACGCCGAGGATTTCACAATTCCGTGCTCAAATTTGAATTTCGTTTAGGGCAACTGTAACTCCACTTTTCTTCGTACACACATAAAACCACAAACCACGTCTTTCTTGTATCAGATGTCCGGGGGCGAGTTTCTCGCGCGGTAATTTGGAAACATTTCGCACTTTTTGAAATCTTTATGTTTTCGTTCATTTCGTGCACTCTTCATGTGTTTATACGTTAAGATTCTATGCCACATCCATTGCGCGAAAATAACAGCAACGAAGACAGCGAGGAAGAAGGGGGACAAGAGCATGGAGGACTTACCCGTTCTCAGGTGGATTTATGGCTTTCATGTTATCTTTGTTTGCTTCGTACCGGTGCAAGGCAAGTTGCAGAAATCTGCAAATTATTTTGTGTTGGAAGGGTGTCCTTGTTGATTCTTGTTGACTGTTGAAAGTTGGTCTGTGTTTGATTCTTTTTTTTTGCGTTTTCTGCTTATTCTCATATGAAATTTGTCAATTTTTTTGGATGATTTACAAATAACTAGCATAATTTGTTCCAAAATAATGAAGGATTCGTCATTCTAAATACGTTTTGTCCCTTTTAAGCTAGAGGAAGCTGCTCGTCTTAGCTCACAAGTGGGAGCTACCGATCCTTCTGCGCAGTTTGCGAGGCGCGCAAGCATCAGGGAAGCATACCAAGACATCTGCAGTCAGTTTGAAGGTAGGGTGTATTTTTCTTCATTCAAATATGTCTTTCATAGTGCTTTTCTAGGGGACGCTGTGAAGGAAGTGAAAGAAAATGCTGTATTGATAGAAAACCTTGAAAAATCCTTTGCCGATGTGGATCGATCTTACGAGAACGTATGTGCATTGTTGCTTTGTTTTGTGCATTTTTAATGAATTAATTATGTTTTTTTTTTCAGGTGGGAGCTGGAGGCAAAGAACTTGCAGCTGATGCTGGCACTTTGCTTTCTATGGCAAAAGTTCTCATGTCACAGATGCGTACCTTTCAAAGCTCAAATGCTGAAAAAACCGTGACCGCAGCGAGCTTCGCCGATGCATTGGTTTGTTTCTCATTATTATTTCCTAGTTTTTCTTATGGTGGTCTTTTAGGTCCATTTCTTGACTTCTATCCCTCCAAGAACCTCATCACCAGTAATCGATGCCGAAGATAATCCTTTGCTGATTGAAGATGAAGAATCCGAAGAGGAGCCTATACCGAGCACTTCTGGTACACAAAGGAGATCGGCAGCACCACTGAAGGTAAGGTGTTTCACCTGTCAAAATTTTGCATTCGTTTTTCTCTAGTATTTGTACTGTAGATAAGCTTGGATCAGTGGGCATGGCTAGGACGTCAGGAATTTGGTACATTGACCTATGATGTCTCATTTGACTACCAGACCGTGTGAGTAAGACTTCTTATCCTTCATGGTTCCGAACTTCTCATAATTTTCTTTTTTGAAAGGCCTTTACGTTACTTTTAACACTTCTCCTGTTTTAGCATCGACTCCACGATTCATGTAGAGGCGGGGTTTTGCCAACAAGAGAGCGACTGTTTTTGTTTTTTCTGATTTTAAAGATTTAAGGATAAGCTTAACAAGAGGGTACGAAAAACAATGCTATGATGTGGAGGTTATCAAGTTCATCCTTAAAATTGGAAAAGTCCGCAACCCGCCTCTACAAGAATCGTGGGGAGACTATCATATCTTTACAGTCATTATTTTTCGAGCAGCTGATCAGAACCTGAGTGGTTTTTTTTCTGTAAAAAATGCAACGATGGTTGTTTTCGTAGTTTCATCTCTTATTTTAGGTATTTATAGAGGAACTTTATGTTTTTTTTTTTCAATAAAATACCGGCATTTTTTTAATTTTTAGCATGTTTTATGCTTGCAACCTTATCACATTTCAGAAGATCTATCGTTTCGGACGATTATGCCGCGGCACAGTTGAAACCGAAGAAAGAGCGCATCAAAAGGGGTAAAGACGAAAAAGAAGCGGCAGTTGTGCTTACCAACCGACAGACCCAGAATGTTGATGATGAGCTCTCTGTAGCCAAGGAGGTAAATTGTAATGAACGTAATGTAATGCCCTCTTTTTGTTTCTGATATTGTACTTCAGCTTGATAAAGTGCGGAAATCATTAAAAAGGGCATGGAAGCAGACACCAAACGTTGATTTCTATTCCTTTGTCATTGATCCCAATGACTTTGCTACCTCGGTTGGTGGATTTTTGTTTATCTTAGCATTCATCTCGGATGATCTTTTTTCTAAAGGTTGAGAATATGTTTTACGTCTCATTCTTGGTTAAAGATGGCCGAGTACGTCTTGCACTTGGTGAAAACGGACTACCTGTGCTCTGTGAGTTTGACTCAAGGCTTCAATATTTTCGTATTGTTTATTATTGAATAATTCTATTGTTAGTGCACGTTTCCAGCGAAGAACGTGAAAGACTACACGTTGATGATCGGTCCGCAGCTGAGACCCATCAGGCTATATTTTCATTCAATTATGATATGTGGGAGGTTGGTTAGAGTATTCGTTATGATCTCGCGTTTTCCATCATTTTCACTTGCAGGCTATGGTAAAAACGATGAAAGAGCAACAGGCATCACGAGCTCAGAATCTTTCGAATACGTAAATTACTTTGTATTAAAATTTGTTTTGAGCAGTCGTCTCCGGTGATGCTGAACAACTTTTTTACTGTTTGATCTGCACTTCGCTCTACCGTTGATGTATACACATCACTCATGCTGTACATAATCCTCGAATTTACTTCACATTTTTAATTCACTATCCACACAGCTACTTTGCATTTTGAACCATGTCAGGTACCTCCCCCAGGTATGCAGAATATCTATCACTTACTCCACTTCTTAGAAACCGATACAGATTTGGAAGATATTTGGCTGCACATAATTTTCTTAATTTTGGTAAATGACTAATGAAGTTTTGAAAAGAAATGCTTTTGTTGTGAGGTTCGATGGTAGGTGCAGTGAACGAAAACTCCTTGAGTTGACACATGAGATCGTTAGAAGATCTTGAGGTTTTGAATTTTTAGTTTTTTCGAGTCATGCTCAAGAGCTTGCAAGAGTTTTCCCCAGTAGAATTTAGAATTCCGAAGGACGTCTTCATCTTTAGTTTTTTTATTGAGACTACAAGATTAGTTCGCACTATTGCTGAGCGATGTTCATAGAAATTTTTGAAAATTTGGATTGGCATTGCAAAAATTTTTTGTGGGAGAAAGGCAAGCGCGAGTGGGCGTTTTTGTTCCCCCTCCCCCTCCCCCTCCTCCTCCTTTCAATGAAAATGTTAAGTTGCCGCCGTTTATCTCTTAGCTTTCTACACTTCAAAAAAATTTTTCCAAAGAAATATCCAATTTTCGTTTCATTCCTTCCACTAGACCATTCAAAGGTCAGCGATTCAGCCGCACTTACCATCAGGCTGATGAACACCCGATTCTTGGTAAAGTGTAAATTGTGTTTCTCGATACATACGTCCATTTTTTTGCATTCTGAGGGACACTCTTGGGTGCAATAGTGTTGCATTTGAACTTGTTTCAATAACGTCCATATCGCTATCTTGATAAAGGTAATCATACAGTCTGTCCCAATCCTAACCAGGCCAAAATTGGCATGGCGGGAGTCCGCGCCGCTAGGGTTTCGCGGTCACGCCCACGGTCTGCTTCCCTGCTCTCTCTTCACTCCTTTGGCTCTCTCCGTCAGCGCACATATAATCGGTTTCATCCCGGATTAGGAGAAACATTCTGCGTGGAGCAACGCGAGCGCATCGCTGGAGGCTTCGCGAGCGCATAGCGCTGCCCTTTGCCAAGCAAAGACTGAGGAGAATGAAAAGACGCGGGCTTGGGTTCTCAGCGCGATATGACATACTGTAGCTGCGAAACGGCGCGAACTGTTGCGAGGCGGACCCGCCAATCCAATTTCCGCCTAAAGCGGATCGAAACTTGCTGTATGCAGGGCAGACCGCTAGCGCTGCGAGCGCGAAAAATTTACGTCGACGCTTCGGCCTGATCCCAATTGGAGCAGGCTGTAGTCATCTTAACTTACATAGTAGCGACTGTCGTTACTTTTCGGAAGTCCGTTCAGTTTAAGTCATTCTTACGTTATTTTTGGGTGTAATCTGCATTCCATTTGTTCTCAACGAAAATCAGATTCTACCGGGGGAGGAAGCATAACTCAAGTAAAACCACAGTCAGGGTTAGCCAAACTCGTCTAGCCTTGGAGAAGCAAGTGGGATACTGAGAAAAAGAATTGTTGGTTTCTGAACTGTTGTATAGACCACGACACGGCACCCAGTTGACATCATGCGTCAAAAATGCGTACTTGATGTAAATAGTGTACACTACTTACCTCAATCTGTAATTTCTTCTCAACTTCTACTTCCTTCCCATATCTTTGGAGTTGGGAAAATGACTGAAGAAAGTATTGGTAAAACTGATTGACTTTAAATATCGCTACTCGTACTGAAATCTCATATCATGGGGATTCTTTATCATGCTGATTCTGGTTCGTCCAATATTAGTGTACTTTTTGAATATGTTCCGATAGCTAAGAATTATTCAATCTGCCAGTATCTTCTAGTCTCTTATCTTTCATTTTACGAATCAAAGCGGTCTCTGGTTTGTTGCTTCATCCAGCTTCATCTTCATCTTATGCATCTAACACAAACTCATGCTTTTATATTACGCTAGACAATCAACAAGTCAATGTGTAAGGTAAGTTTAGAACTCGGCTATTATTGTATTTTTTATGCACATCCTCCCTTCCGCTGCCTCAGCTTTTGATTTAAGAGATCATAGTGTGATATTGCTCTTGTCTTCTATCTAGATAATTATCGTCCCCACAGACCATTAGCCAGCTGCCACTGTGATCTAAAAACTTGTATTTCAAATTAACACTTTTAGGTTTGACAAATTCGTACCGTTTCGCCCAATCGTTAGATGACAATGGTGGCAGGGCATACCTGAAAAGTTCGGTATCGCATTTTACCTACACTTATTACGACAGGAATTACCTTTCTCCCCACAATGATTCGTATGGTCTACTGTTTTGTGGAGATCGCTCCTGCGCATCATATTTGTCCTGGAAAAGGAATTAAATTATAAATGGCCCATTAGTTCTTCTCAGTTACTTACGTTCTTAAATAAGCTCCGTTTACCCCATAGGCCATGTGCTTTGTTCCAATGTAAACTACCCATGTTGTCATCCGCATGAACACAGGCAAGCGCAACCAGCAAAACACCTTAATTGCTCTATATATGTAGGCGTGACGGGAGAATAAATTGAAAGCTTTATAAAAAAGCGATTAGTTTCAATTAGGCTTTGCAGCTGGTTTTGTAATTTTCAATTTGTATTGGTGCATTCACTTTTTAGCATGGTGTAGATCATGCCATATAATCCAAATGAATTACAGGGCTTTTCAACATAAGAGTCACAGCCTCCGCTTGCGCGGCTCCTCCAACGCGGCCGCCTCGCTCAGGCCGCGCGCGGCGTTTGCGGCGTATCGCCCGGGCTTTTGCCAAGCTTCAGTCGACACGCAGCCAGCGCCACGAACGCTGCGCGGACCTAAGCGTGGCGGCCGAGCGGAGCGGCTGTGACACTCAGGTTGTAAAGCCCTGTACCTCTTGATTTTTGATTAAATGGAAGGGGTTGATCTACTTTGAGCATTCCATTTCGAGTTTTGCTGCTCCAAAACAAAAATGAAGCTGTTGGAAACTTAATGAAGCATGTAGAGCAGCAACTGTACATGAGTCGTTGACGATGAAGAATGTTCGCCAAAACTGGATAAAGGGCCGGGCATACTTCGCTCGATTTCAGTCGCGACGCAATTTGGCAATTCGCCAGAAGTCTTCAGACGTGTATAACTTGCGTGGACTGATAAAGTGCCCTATTTTCCGTACCTTCAAAATGTGCTTACAGTGAGTTATGGACAGCTGAAATATTGCCAAATCGCGTCGCGAGTGAAATCGCGTAAAGTATGCCCGGCCCTTAAGAGGAAATGAAAGTTGAGGACAACTTAAGATCTGACGCATTTTGAAAAATCAGACGAGTTCCTTGAGAAGCTGAGGAGCGCGCAATATGTAGAATGAAACCCCAGAGCTTGCTGATTTCGCTGCACAGGAGGTTGAAAAGAGTAATCTATCTCGAACAGGTATACCATAGACAATACTGAATTACCACCTCGGTAATACATCATATTTCATTTATGGGCTGACATAGGTTCACTGCTTTCTTGTAATGACTGCAGATTCACTTCTGGATTTTATGTAGGATATGGATAGCTAAAGAGCTGCTTTCATCCACTTCTGTCACTTATTTCGTCATAACTCTCAAGTATCGGTGCATATTTTCGTGTAAATTTGATAGTAGGTCCACTTCTGCTAGGCTCCTTTCCGGGACGAATCTGGAACAGGGCCGAAACTACTTGGCAAGGAAAGATATTTGGTGATCTGATGTTGTGTGTGATTTCTGAAATTTCGGCCTTTGTGTACGACGAAAGCGTCAAAACCTTATTCTGATACGAACAAAGATGCCAGTATCTTGACACGGCGAGACTGAGGTCTATAAATTCTTGAATCAGTTACATATACCGTACACTGACTTCAGAAGGGATCGGCCATACTATTCCTGCTATTCCTACGATTCCTGCGATTCCTGTGAGTCCCGCACAGTTTATACGCCGCTTAAATGAGCGCATGTTGCGTGTTACGTGTTGTTTTACGCAACACCCGCTCATTTAAGCGGCGTCTAAACTGTGCGGGAATCACAGGAATCGCAGGAGTCGTGGGAATAGCAGGAATAGTATGGCCGATCCCGAAGGGTTTCACCTGATGCGAGAGCTTTAAAGAAAAAACTTCCATAAAGAAGCGCGTTGATGATACATGTCATGGTACTAAATGGCGACCCATGCGGACCGTGAATAAATATCGCAAGGTTTTCGAATTTTTTTGTTTTGTTTATGCTTTAGTATGAGTCGTCCGTCTTCATTACAGTTTTATCTGAATACAGTACATTTTCTTTTTTTATTTCGTTTTCTGTATAAATACGAAGAATGCCGAATATCTTAACCAACTCTTGCAAGTCCTGTGGTTCTATCATATATCAAATATGCCTTCCACGATCTTTGGGCAATGAGTTTACTATCTTTTTTTGAAGCTTTTTGGTCTGGCTTATCAATGTTCCGACCCATTTAGCGTATCTTGTACCTACACCATGTGCATTGAATAAATACATTTTAAATTGGCTTTCGTTCCCATTTGATTTAGTCTATCTAAACAAAACTAACAAAACTCTTCCAACAAACGATCTCATAGAGCCACAAAGCGCGTTTCCTTGCCTTTTTGCACCATATATCATTTTAGAAGGTTCTTACTATAATTAGAAAATAATTTTTGTTACGGAGAAAATCACAGCATTTTCCACGAAAGCCAATACTGCCAGTCCCCAAACAAATTTGTTGGTAGAAAATAATCAAGCAATAAATTATGGCACTTACCTAAGCAGATAAGCCGGTCATGTGGTCGTGTAAACATGATGTGCGCCTGTAAAAATTTAATTTGACATCCGTTTAGGTCATCCGGAAATTACGAGCCATTAAAAAAGACGAAAAGGATAAGAGTGTATGAGGATTTGCGAAAGAAATTATAAAATATTAATCGAGCTCTGCTTCATCTAGAAAGAAGATATCTGAAACAGCTGATATTTACAATCTAGTCATAGTTCTCTAGAGAAACTTGCATTTTCGCGTTCAATTTTATGCTTCATGTTTTCAATGTTAATAACCGTGGAAAAAAAACGTTCTCAGATTTAATGTTTCTCCGTTCCTATTGTCAAGAACATTTGATTTGGGGTCTATTCTTTCTTCTGCAGCAATGTAATTTTACATTTATGACAGGATGAGCTTTTTTGTCCGTCGAATATGACTTAAATATTAGAAAATGATAGCAGTGCCATACTTATAATTCTAGTGGAAGCTGGACAAAAATGCTCACCTCTTATGGACAATGAAAGTTATTTCAATGGTAATGGCTATGATAGAAATCTTTAGTACTTTCTTTACCAGGCGCTAGTAATTATTCAAATAAAATCAGATAACTCAATGCTTTGCTGCAAAAACTAACTTTTTTATGTGAAATACTTATCGATTAGAGGGGTGTCTTGTGTTAGGGTGTCTTATAAATTTCTATCGTCCTTACTACCGCTGTCCTTTTGTATATCTTTTCTTCAACTGACTTGGGTAATCATTCGACAGGGCAAAGCAAACTCTACAGGATGGTTATCAAAAGTCTGCCCAAATCAAATTCCACATGTAGTTTTAAGGGGAAATCTTATAGAAGTCAAAAATGAACTTTCTTGTCGAAACCCGTATCTTTGCCTCAAAAAAACCTTTACAAAATCCCTATGTATCGTAGCATATTGGCACTCGTACATTTTTTCCATGGCTAGAAATAAAGTAAAATATGATTGGGGTGAAATGGCAAACTCCGCCTTGAATCCTAAGCTCCTCCCATGCATGTGATCATATATTATAGCTCATACATACAGAAGTACGATCATGTATTTGTACCCTTTGTAGAGCCCAATTCTCGGGAAATGTTGATGTTTATGGTTAGAACGGTAAAAAAATTATGAGACAAGACATCCTAATAAATAAACCCGAAAGTGTAATATTACTAGAGATAATTTGTGTTGATCAAAACAGAAATAGGTAATTACAACTTTTTGTGTTCAGTCGAAACGGGTTCATGTTATTAGAGGGAGAAATACAATACCACCCGTAATTTGTGAAAAAAAATGGCGGCGGCACTTAACTTACGCGGCGCCGCCGAAGTTAGGTGACTTTTGCCGCGTCGCGCGGCAAAAGTCAGCGGAAAAGCGGCCAAAGTCACCTAACTTTGTCGCGCAACGCCTAACTTTTTATAAAAAAAGACCTTATCTTGATTCAAAATTTATGAATTCTATATATAAGAGTACCATTCAACTCAGCTCGGCGAGGCGCATCTTCCAATATACGGATGTGCCTAGTTGTGGGATATAAGTTTCTTTCCTGGAATTTTAGTGTAAATGGACCATTCAGTGTGCTTATTCCAGAGGCTACGTACACATTCTATTGAGCACAGCAGAAATAGGGCAGGTATAGTTTAAGAGCTCATTCTGCATGGATATATGTGAAACTGGGCAGCTCATTCTGCATGGATATGTGTGAAAGTGGGCTTTTCTCGGCGAAGTATGACGGGTCCCAAAATGCAGGAAGACAAAGGGAAATGGTTGGAAATCGCATGAGAAGCACATATCGCGGAATGCCGCGCGTGCTGTGCAATGTACAATACCACTCACAGAACGGGAATTGCGCGAAATTCCAGAAATTTCGCGATTCCGGATTATCGCAAATTATGCAGCGCCATAACTTCCTTCGGAATTAATATATTCTAAATTCGAAAGCAGCACTGTGTTCATCTCGTCAAGGCGAATCTTTCTACATACGTCATGTCATCTATATCTTGTTTTCAGTTTTCTCAAATTGTTCTGAGGAGGTCCCTTTGCAAGTATGTAACGCAGCGCCTATCCAACTTGAAAGCTTCCAGTAAGCACCATTCGATAGTGCTCTTCTTGTGCATTATAGTGCGCTAGTAAGCTGCCGCAGACTTCTTTTCAAAAGAGAAAAAAGCGTTGGTAAATTCTGGAAAAATCACTCGTTTCCAGATTCTACTCGCCGTAACTTTCTTTGGAGTGGATATTTTCTGAATCCGAAAAATGCATTGTGCTCAGCTCATCAAGGCAAATCTTTCGGTATGCAGAATGTCCTTGATATCTCGATTTCAGTATTCTCAAAACTTTCTGCGGACGTCTCTTCGCAAAGGTGTGAAGCAGCGCGTATTGCCCCCAGTACATTCAGAAAGAAATTTTCGATAGTACTTCTTTTGTAGATTATGGAGCGCTAGAAAGTAGCCGCACACTCCTTTTCAAAGGAGTTAGAAGGGCTGGTGAATTCTGGAAAAATCATGTCCTTCTAAATTTTTCTCAACGTAACTCTAAAATATGAAGCTCTCTTGCTAAGCAGATGTGATTTTCGTAACCAGCAGGTCGGATAACCCTTAAGTGCAAGTTTTCCAAGATGTTCAAGTAATTTCATTTTTTCTCGTTTTACGCTCTGAAGCTCGCCGGTGGATTTTGGTCAAAATGTCGATGATCTCGAATTGACAGGAAACTTCGCTTACAGAGGTTTTCGAACACGCTCTTTACGAAAATCGTGGTCTTTGAGGATTACAGGGTCTTTTTGGTGAGATACGGTGAGGTGACTGTAACTGCATCACGAAAGTGCGTAAATTGGCCCGCACTTCTCGCGTATCTGTCAGCAACCTTGCCTGCTTGCTTTTCTCAGTCAAAGTTACTAGGAACTGCGCTACCGAATGGTGCATGAATCAGGCTCCAGCCTGTAAAAATCACCGAGTTACAAGCCTATGAAAACACGTCCTCATGAATTTTGCCCAAAATCTAAAGATCGCAAATCTCGTCGAAATTCCACCGTGAGCGCTTGTACAACACGCTGATCAAAATCTTTCGCGTCCTTAATGGATCTTATTGTGTTAGATTTAGTAGTTTGAGTTCTAGCCACTGAAATAGCTCTGATATTCAACTGAGCAGCTGAAGCATATGCAAGTACCATATTCAAGACAGTGGGAGTTTTTGGGCGAAGCGAACACAATATCCGCAATGCGAGTGTCATACAAGCGCTCACGGTGGAATTTCGACGAGATTTGCGATCTTTAGATTTTGGGCAAAATTCATGAGGACGTGTTTTCATAGGCTTGTAACTCGGTGATTTTTACAGACTGGAGCCTGATTCATGCACCATTCGGTAGCGCAGTTCCTAGTAACTTTGACTGAGAAAAGCAAGCAGGCAAGGTTGCTGACAGATACGCGAGAAGTGCGGGCCAATTTACGCACTTTCGTGATGCAGTTACAGTCACCTCACCGTATCTCACCAAAAAGACCCTGTAATCCTCAAAGACCACGATTTTCGTAAAGAGCGTGTTCGAAAACCTCTGTAAGCGAAGTTTCCTGTCAATTCGAGATCATCGACATTTTGACCAAAATCCACCGGCGAGCTTCAGAGCGTAAAACGAGAAAAAATGAAATTACTTGAACATCTTGGAAAACTTGCACTTAAGGGTTATCCGACCTGCTGGTTACGAAAATCACATCTGCTTAGCAAGAGAGCTTCATATTTTAGAGTTACGTTGAGAAAAATTTAGAAGGACATGATTTTTCCAGAATTCACCAGCCCTTCTAACTCCTTTGAAAAGGAGTGTGCGGCTACTTTCTAGCGCTCCATAATCTACAAAAGAAGTACTATCGAAAATTTCTTTCTGAATGTACTGGGGGCAATACGCGCTGCTTCACACCTTTGCGAAGAGACGTCCGCAGAAAATTTTGAGAATACTGAAATCGAGATATCAAGGACATTCTGCATACCGAAAGATTTGCCTTGATGAGCTGAGCACAATGCATTTTTCGGATTCAGAAAATATCCACTCCAAAGAAAGTTACGGCGAGTAGAATCTGGAAACGAGTGATTTTTCCAGAATTTACCAACGCTTTTTTCTCTTTTGAAAAGAAGTCTGCGGCAGCTTACTAGCGCACTTTAATGCACAAGAAGAGCACTATCGAATGGTGCTTACTGGAAGCTTTCAAGTTGGATAGGCGCTGCGTTACATACTTGCAAAGGGACCTCCTCAGAACAATTTGAGAAAACTGAAAACAAGATATAGATGACATGACGTATGTAGAAAGATTCGCCTTGACGAGATGAACACAGTGCTGCTTTCGAATTTAGAATATATTAATTCCGAAGGAAGTTATGGCGCTGCATAATTTGCGATAATCCGGAATCGCGAAATTTCTGGAATTTCGCGCAATTCCCGTTCTGTGAGTGGTATTGTACATTGCACAGCACGCGCGGCATTCCGCGATATGTGCTTCTCATGCGATTTCCAACCATTTCCCTTTGTCTTCCTGCATTTTGGGACCCGTCATACTTCGCCGAGAAAAGCCCACTTTCACACATATCCATGCAGAATGAGCTGCCCAGTTTCACATATATCCATGCAGAATGAGCTCTTAAACTATACCTGCCCTATTTCTGCTGTGCTCAATAGAATGTGTACGTAGCCTCTGGAATAAGCACACTGAATGGTCCATTTACACTAAAATTCCAGGAAAGAAACTTATATCCCACAACTAGGCACATCCGTATATTGGAAGATGCGCCTCGCCGAGCTGAGTTGAATGGTACTCTTATATATAGAATTCATAAATTTTGAATCAAGATAAGGTCTTTTTTTATAAAAAGTTAGGCGTTGCGCGACAAAGTTAGGTGACTTTGGCCGCTTTTCCGCTGACTTTTGCCGCGCGACGCGGCAAAAGTCACCTAACTTCGGCGGCGCCGCGTAAGTTAAGTGCCGCCGCCATTTTTTTTCACAAATTACGGGTGGTATTGTAATTTGTACTGGATACCTATCGTAGCGATTTTTCTAAACTTTA